ATATATATATATATATATATATATATATATAAATTTTATAAATTTTAAGTTATATAAATTTTTTTTTGTTAATATTAATGAAGTGTTCCTATTAAATCTGCTGCTTTCAATGCAGCATTAATTTTCATTCCCCTTGATAATTCCAAAACTTTTACGGGGAACCTCCTGACACACACGTCTTTAAAAAGAAACAAAAGCAGAGAAGATAAAATAAGAAAATAAAAGCAAGTTCCCCTTGCATAAAAAGAAAATGTAGAATTTTCAACGCCAGTCGACGCCAGCCTTCTGATATCGACCGTAACAAAACAACTAAAACAACTACTTAAGCTTAGAGAACATAATACTAACAGAGAATAAATTACTGACTTATTCACCAAGGAAAAAAATTAACGCTCCGACGCAAATATATTTTCATTTTCTGCGCTACCTATAGAAATGCATTATAGTGAGGAAGAAAAAAGTCTGAAGCAAAAAACAGCCAAGAATCATGGTTAGCTTGAAAAGAGTTGAGTGTCGATATTTTTAACCCGTCGTTCCATTCAGGTAGTGCACTCACCCCCTTCATAGAACTAATGCCGCAAAATAGCGCATTTCCTGAGCTATCTTACCAGCACTTCAGCACACACGATCATGCAGCACAAATATAGGAAAAGGTTCCTAGAACCAGCCTAAGTGTCATGCGAAAACCTATGGGGCTCAAAAATCGCTTCAAAACATTACAAGAAACCGTCCTGCACACAGTCGAAAATGTGAAATGGGAAGAGAAAACACATTTAACTCGGAACGCAAAAGAAGAAAAAGCAGAAAAAATTTTGGGGAAAATTGTAGTTTCCTTGTAGTTAACTCTACTTAAAGAAGTGACAGAGGCAATAGCAAAGTGTTGGAAATCAGCCAACCCACGCGCTTGCCGCTATAGTAAATCGCGCAATTAACATGAAAATTAAAACGAGTCCACGTTGGCTAAAAAAAAAGGCAATTGTCCCAATAGGGAACTTCAAAAAAAGTTTACGATGCCATCACTTCCCCAGATGTGAGATGTAAAAGGAGGAAAAAGCAAGGTGTTAAAGCGAAGACTCAAGCGTCAAGGAATACCGTCCCATTGAAGAGCATTTTTACTTCTACTGGTGCACATTTTTATTGTTTTTGGCTTGAAATACAATTCCCTTGCGTAAAAAACTGATGTATTTTTAAACTTCTTCTTAAAATTCTGTTTTGGGATGACTCTGAAAATGGGAGAAATTGTACAGCCTCTGGTTTGTCCCTGCTAATATTCACGGTCAAAAATATTTGGAAAACAGTTTTTTATACCACTAGCACAGCTATTCACAGTGCGGATTATATGGTTTTTATTCATCTGAAAGAATAAAGAAATTTCTTTACAAAGCCTGGAACGCTTCACGGAATATCTATATCCTCGTAGCTCTGCTGGAGAGTGCACTGGCAAGTAATAATGACTAGAAATCGCATGCAGCAAAAAAAGTATAAGTTGCAAAAAAGAAAGGGATCGGGTGGAAACGCAGATTACCTGGAAATCTTCTCTTCTGCACTACCTAGCATTCTCGCCCCCAAATAGCCTCGTTCCTGTAGCTTTCCAATGCACTTTTCAACGAGTTACCAGGATATATGCATTCTCTACGACCCTTAACTGGCAAACATACTAACCCAAGGTCAACAGTTACCACTTCATCTACTTGGAGGCCACGTGCAAAATGAACTTTCTGATATGGACAAGTATCTGAGATCCAAAAGCCCCGTAAAGACTTCTCGATAATGAAAGAGTATGCCATGAACGCCGTTCTAACATCGGCCGTCAAAATAATGAAATATGCCACACTAGAACTGCACACTTAAAACGAAAAAGAGTGCCAGTATTTGTAACCAGTCCTCTTAATGGCAGAATGCATCTTCAGACTCATATCTTCGAGCTTTTCGGATCTTTTCACCAAATACTTTGCGACGGTTGATGTTTTTTGAAATACAAAGGGAAAATCTTTTTATACTAGTGATGCCTCGGATGTGTGTTAATCAAATGTAAAATTTTACTAGTGATCAATGACAAAAAGGACAAATAAAAGGTTTTCAAATCAAAGATCACTGTTCAAATTTAAACTAGGGCATACAATGAAGAAATATGGCATTTTTCCAGTTCAGCCTATCTGCTACACAGTGTCGATTTTTCTGCCAATAACTTACCAACCAACTCTTTGCAAATAGAAGTTTAGGGTGTCGCTACTTCCTCTGGCAAAATTCCGAGGAATTCAGTGCAAATTGTACTCTCCCTGCGTCAAACGCTTATAGATGTTTTTCATTTTTTCAGATGTAGCTGTAAGGTTTCAGTGCTAGCAGAGGCACAGTTTAATGCAGGTGCGCTTCCTTCTGCAGTCGTGCCGATATCTGCCTGAAGAGAATAAATTCCTGTTCTTTGTAAATTCTGTAAGTAATAACTTTTTTTTATATCTATAGATTTTTTTTACAGATATACCCTTCGCCACTTCTTCATACAAATGCCGTCGTGGCAAACGATGAAAGATGCTACAGCGCTTGAATGATTAAAGCTGCCGCATTAATTGAGCTACGTATATTATTCTCCCTTTTTGAGGTAAGCCAAAAGCCAGCTTATTCGACCGGCAATGAACCAGTGCAGCATTTAATTCAGAAAGAGAAGGTAACCAACTGCTTTGTTTACGCTATGCTATGTTGTCAGTACGAGTGGTAGCGTACATGATTTCTTAAGAAAAAAAGTTCTGTCAGAAGTTAGACTTTAACAAAGAAGAAGTAATGTTTAAAATTTTTTTGGGCTGTGTTAAAGAAAACCAGAACATCTTGGAAACTGTAAAAACAAAAAATAAAGACAAGCTGCCGACAAAAAATTACGGTTCTGAGTGGAAAGGAATGGGTGGTGAAAGACGAGGAGTAATACTGTAACTGGTGAAGCTGTAAACCGCAACTCTCTGGTAGGTAATCCAAATATTGAGGGAAAATACTCAGAGAACTTCGTAAGTAGCAGAGTGAGGACTCTGTCACGAAAACTCAAGATGTTTAAGCAAAATCTGAGAAAATGCTCGCTGAAGAATATTTCTAACAACAATTTCTGTGTAGCAAAGAACAACCACAAAGAAAAAAAGTCGCTTTAAAGCCCACAAGTGTAAAATTACAGCGTAACTTCCTCTGGGTCTCTCTACGCTTCTTGTACATAGGTCTTTTAATGTCCAATTCATTCCTAGACTGTCGCTGAAGGTCCTGCCAAAGTGAAATGCCTGTCTCTTAGGACAGTTCCAACTTACCGAAAACGAAGTTTGACATAGATCTGATTGTAGGTAGGTTTTTCTTCATGGAGGCTGCTCACTGTGGAAAGATCGTGTAGTCATCAGGGTACTTTTACGAATTAGCTAGTCATACTGAGGATACCTGGTCGGTTTCCTGAGTAACATATTTTTCTTCAAGTTAGTCCATGTTCCCTGTATAAACCTGCTGCGATTCCGGAAAGTTTCTCGTCTCTGAAAAGAATTTATTCTGTGACTTGCCTACGCGTATTACGAGCTACTCAGAAATGTTAATTAAATTGGAGATCGTGGATCGGTTTTTTAAGATACGCGTTTTCTCGCATTATTTTGCATTTTTTATAATTCTGGAAAATTTCCGACTATTAGAGAAATCCATTTTGGAGCAGGACTATACTTACTAGGGAGCTTTAAGAACGAGCTACAAAACTACTTTAGTTCTATCAGGGGTCGTGGGTTGATTTTTTGAGTTACACTTTTTTTTTCACTCCTCTTTATGTTTCTTGCACTTCCGGGGAATTCTTCGCCCATCCAGGACGTTCACTCCGAGATTACCCATGCTTATTAGAAAGCTACGAGAACTACTCAATTGTTTTAATTCAGTGACAGGTCAAGGTTCTAAGCATAGGCAGATACATCTGCATAGACAATTATAGCCAGGTCATTTCTAATTTGTTGTAAAAATTTTTTTGCCGCAGGACCAGGAGTGCCGTAGTGCGGTCTGTTATCAACTTATAAAAATGCTGGGGGCCGTTCGAAATGGAGGTTGTTTACCTGATTTTTTTCAAAGGTCTGCGGATTTTTTGACGTCTTTTGTTTCGTCAGAAGTGCGGCTAGATATTTGTTGCTGTAATCTGTGCCAATATTTGGCACTGTCGCCGAGATATTCGCTGAAATGTGACGTTGAGGCTAATTTTCATTATTACTAGTTTTGTTACTTGTTTTTGAAAGTAGGGTTTTTTGACTACAGAAGATTTTTTTTATTTTTCATGTGCAAATCCCAGGAGTGGGTTCTTAAAATAGAAGAAATCTTTTACTGCGGTATGCGTACTAGTTTTTTTGAGATCTTGCTATTTACAGGGAGAAGTGGACTGCTGTAGAGGTGGAATAACCGGTTTTTGCCCACTGTTGAACTTAAGTTAATTTTTTTTTGTCCTTTATTTCGTATGACTAGATTTTCTTAGCATATATAAAGGCTGTAATTTATTTTGCTTTCGTTTTTTTTTCACCAAATTTGCACCGCTTAACCTGCAGGTCCATGGCAGGCTTCTGTCACGTTCACCACAGTCTGTCACATTTTGTCGCACAGTTTTGTCTCAGTGGCCATCCTCTCCGTTTCTGAGAAAGGCAGCTCCATATGCCGTGTCTTCTTTCCTCGGTTCCAGCTCTTTACTGTCCTATGTATTGCCGTCCTAGAACGCTCTGAAATCATTCATATTTTTAATTTCTTTTCACCATTCTTCTGTGTCGTTCTTCTTACCATTAGTAGCCTCCGTGTTTAGCACTAAAGCCGATATGTCACTCGGGGAGACCCGCTCCAATAGTTTGACAGCATACGTCTTGAGTTGTGAAATGAGCCGGGCAAATCACGTCCTTTTCGACTGCGGCTGTTTAACAAGCTGCGCCCACGGAGATCCTCGCAGAAACCTTCATCTGCCTCTCTGGCCTTCCCAATTTCAAGGCATTTAGAAAATTCCCTTGAGCTTGAGTCGTGAAACGCATATATAGGCGGCATCATTTCTAATTTGGTGTGAAAATTTTCTCGAGGCGGAACCAAAAGCACAATGATGCGATCAGCTAGCAACTCATAAAAATGCTCACTTAGGCTAAAAGCGCTGGATTTTTTTCAAAAGAAGGCTTTTCTGTACGCGAAAACTCTCACGCCAAATTGGAAATGAATCCGTCTGTAACTCGCCAGTTTTCGATTGATATTTCTTTTTTTTCTCATAATAGAGAACGTGTTTTTGTGCTGCATGTTTAAGTAATGTTTTATCAGAAAGCTTGCTGTTTGTCGGCATTTTATCTCATTGTTTTCCAAACTTGCTCTGTGGCACTTTTTATTGACGTTTTACCAGAAACTTCGGAGTACTTTCATCTTTTACACATCTTTTTTAACTTAATTACAGTATTAACTTTATTCATCGCTCTGGAATACTGTTAACCTTATTGTCATAGGAATCTACGTGACAGAAATTAAAAAATGCATGAAAAGATTATCAGACGATCAGATAAACAAAGAAAAAAACAGCCTTAAATAAGGAGCCAAAAGAATGAAATTTTCTACCAAATGATAAAGCACTGTAAAATAACAGGTGAAAAAAACAAATATTTTGAGAAAGAAAATAGTTTTTGTCTATGATGGAAATGGTTTATCGAATTAGTACCAAGTCAGGTATCAATTTGATATGAACTGTTTAAGAGGAGGTATCCAAGGGTTCTAGTTAAGTTCAAGCAAGTTAAAGAAAAATAGTTTATTCTATAACGAGAAGTGATCACAATTATGACGAACACAATGGTATCAAATGAACTGCCGACTTCTTTAAATGAGCCAGGTAAACACCATCATTTGCAGTTCAGCCGACTCTTTAATGGGCTGCTAGCCAGCTTTGCCACTGCAACCTTGTGGCGACAGAAACCTTCACGACAAGTTGTGCAGAAATGAGTTCCGCTGTATATCTTTGTTCTTGGAGTACCATGTCTCAGCATCAGCCGACGTTAGCAGTGGACAGTGAGTACTGGCTGCTTTATTCGTGATTTGAGGTCATAGTCGTGCTCTTTGCAGCTGTACTATTGTATCTGTGACGGCTTTCCCAACTACTGCTTTGTTTCTGTCATAACGTGTGTCATTGTGTGTCAGTTTTGTGTCATAATCATTTTTTTTTCTTTTGTTTCGTTTGCGCTTTACTTTTGTTTTTCTTCTAGAAGCCTGCAACGTGTTTTTTATGCTCGTGGTGTTCTCATCATTTTTATTCTTAATTGACAGAGTTTCAGTTCACCTTTTTCTATTGTAGCAAGCCTTTTATTACTCAGTAAAGGGCAGCTATACGTTTTGGCTGTTGCATTATCTTTTTTACGTGTTTGTATAAGTGACGGTTCGCAGAACAATAGCCGTGTTCATCAGGGGTTGTGTCAGTTATGTGCACTGTGTAACAGTTTTCATAAACCTCCATAATATGCTCGAAAAGTACTCAGTCCGTATCCCCACTTTATTGCTAGTTTTGTGACATCTACTGGAATTCAATTTGTAGTTTTATTATGCTGTGCAGTACGTTTTCAAAACGTCTCTGAGAAACAGTATATTCTTCTTTAGAGAAAAGATTCTAACCTTGTTGCCGTTTATAAAAACCTTGCAGTCCATAGGGTCATAGGCGTCTATTCGCGACGAGAGGGTTCCGAGGAGGCGACAGCATCGCGTTACTTTAAAGATGCCAGAAAACGGAGACGATATGTTTTAAACTAGAGTATGATTTACGTATGCTGACGTTCTGCAAGAATACTATTTTGTTTTCACGGAGGTCCTTCAAATTCTTCGTGAAAATGAGAAACTAAATATTTTTTTGCTCTCGCAGAGACCTGTCGGAAGAGGTAAAATCACAGAATTCCGTTATAGTCGTAAAGAATTACAATCATTTAAATGAAAAAACAAAAAGAAATACATTGAAAAGCTATGCTTGTTTATGTTCGAAATACTTGTAGTGTTTGTTTATTATCGTCTTGTAATTCGGTATGAATAAAAAAGAAGAAGTGAAGCCACTGGAGCTCATTTTCTTATATTCGTGTTTTTCACCGACTTGGCACTGTGATTTTTTTCTTACAGCCTCACTTCTATACGTTCAGTCGTGATCTATTCATTCGTAATCTTTAATGCTGTCGCTGAAATTGCTCAGAAAGTAATGGCATTAATCTTGGTTTATTGCAGGAATGTTTCACTTTAATGTGCAAAATGCAACAAGAAACGCCGTTAGGGTGGTTTCTGAAGCAAGCAGGCTAGTAACGCTGCGTGGTTTGGCCTCGGAAGTTAAATTGGAAGACTATGGTGCATGTAAGTCCCAGCATATATTCTTCTGGTGCTTACTTTCGTAAGGCTTGTGCAACGTTCTGCAAAGATCGAGTATATTTCTAAGTACATGTTGGATATATTTTAGATCCTGACCCGCTTGAGTCGTCATTGGGCCGAGAAAAGAAAATTTTACTGGCTCGTCTTGCTGGAGATGATGTAGATTGCCTCATTTCTGATCTGTTAATTTCAGTTTAGAACTTCATTTTGTTCCTCTAATGAAAATTATTCAAAGTTTCAGCGGTACGAGCCGAAGATTTATTACAGAGCTGCACAATCTTCAAAGGAATACCCAAATCTGGTCCCATCACACTTTGACGATAAAATAGTTGGATGCCTTTGTGAGTAACTTAGTTCCTTTTCCCTGTTTATTTTTTTAGTGATTTATTTTTCAAAGGACAGTTAAAGCGAATTAAAGTAAATTGCCATTGCATATTTGGCGGATATTTGAAAACTTTGGTTATCAAAATTGTTCACGTCAGTGCACTTCCGCCTTGAACCTTTACTTGGTTAAGTCTGCACCATTGTGGATACTTCGTCAGAGTAAACAGTTCCCTTGCTCTTTGACAGTTTTGTAACCACGAAGATCAGGACATCTAACATTGTTCAGAAGTTTAAGATAAAAAAGACGTCACATCACTTGAGTTTAGGGGTATTTTTAGTTTTTTGCATTCGACCCGTTTTTTCAAAAGATATACTGAATTTATTTCAGGCGAACCCGATAGCAGCCATGTTAATTACATGATAATAAGGAGGGGCACACCCAAGCGTTGTGAATGTGGACATTGGTTCAAGGTTATTGAAGCGGACCCTGAATCTGTTTAACTAGATCTTTCCTTCAATTACTTTATCTCTTGTAGTGGTTTAGTTCTTTGCTATCCAGCTAGTCTGCCGCTGTTATCAACTTCCGTCTCCTACCACGCTTTTTTTTTAACAGTAAAAGCTTCGCTAGGTCCAATTACCTTTGGGAAATGACAGGCGCAGCATTTCTAGTTTCTGAGTGACAGTGATTAAAGTAGCTTTTCTGCTGCAGTTAAACTTATGCTTCTCCTGTGGATCTCCTATCCTTAAGCTATGTAAAAGACTTCTGCCAAGTAGATTAGGCTATTCTGGTCTTGGTGTGATGCAGTCTTCATACCTGATTAACCTTCGATGTTGCGGATTTCCTGCGGTCCATACCACATCTTCGTCAAATGAAAGAGGATATGATGGCCTGAATTTTTGAACCAGCCTTCGTACGGTGCAAATAACGAAATGGCAGGCAGTTTCCGCTTTATTTTATTGAAATTGTGACAGCTCACCGGTGAGTATGGAAAATATAAAAAAAAACGTAGCAAAGCACTAATAGAACAATGATGGTAAGCAAAAGTGGGGACTCTGTAAGCACTCCATTCAGTTTTAGTGAGCGGTAAGAGTTGGGCCAATCAGAATTTTTGGGAGTCTTACGCTCAAAAGAACGCAGGGTTTAAAAAGTGTAGGTTACTGTTCTCCGTACTCTGGAAAAAATCTTTAAGAATAGCGGAGGGCAGCAACTGCAAGTTTACTCCGAGATGAAGCAGCCCTGAATTAGTGGCACAATCGGTCCAAACAATCTTAAGAGTTTAAAGTGGAAATCAATTCTAAAAACTGTTCAAAGAACATTCGGATCTAGAGTTCCATCTGTACCAAGTCAGTAGGTGCGAGCGCACTGCTTCAACTGCTGCAGAAATAATTGAAAATAATTTGTATGGATAAAGTGAAATGAATGAAATAAGAGCCAAGTTATCATCGTTCTCACGTAACAACAAACAACGTGAACAGAAATTGCGATAACACTGTTTAACTCAACAGGGACGGATTAGCAAACAGATAAAATGAAAAACAAACAAAATTGAATATTCATTAAATAAAACAAGGAAACAACGATGAAAACATCGGATTCGCTTTTGAATGATTTTACAGACTTCTCAGTCCACAATGCGCATGACGAAGTACCATTAGAACCTCCATGACCAAACGTGCAAGCTTCAAAGGCTTTAGGAGTGAACAACTTCTAAAGTTTCACCACGTGTGCGTTAAAAAAGAAACAAGCGCACAGCTCACTGTGGAATCAGTAAACTCCTCCCAGAATTAAAGGAAACCACATGCTTGGAGACCGACTCCACGTTTGTAGCTCCATATAGTGTAGTCAGTTTTTTTCCGCTAAATTACTGGCTCATCAGTATCAACTAAATGAACATCACGAGGATTTGACTCGAAATTATCGACGGGCTCTGATTTTGTTGAGGAACGAAGACGAGCTCTACTTTTCCCCAGCAAGCCATCTGCAGCCATAACGCTGAAAATCTCAAATTATTCACCATAAAAAGTAAAACAATGTTCAGAGCTAATATTACAAATCAAAATTTTGAACTTCAACAACCTCCGAGTTCCTAAACTACTTGAATTCACTTCAGCCGTATTTCAGCACATTTTTCAAAAGGAAAAAGCAAAGATTAGTTAACTCATTTCCGACAAAAAACAAACTTCTAAATTAGTGGAACTACAACAACGATATACCGGTAGCAGAGGACTGTGTTTGTAACTGCAAGAGAAACAATAACAACAAATGTAATCAGAGCGTAAGCCAAGTGCATCGCCCATGCTGTGTTAACCTGCCAGTACAAAAGGAACGCGCTGACAGCAATACGAAAAACCATGAACGAAGCAATATTAAGCAGAGCGATCATTCGAAACTGGACTGATGACTTCTCAACACCGTACAAATTCATCAAAGATCGGGAGTGCAGAAATATGCTGTTAAGTTCCATTAGCAGACCCAAAACAACGACACCTAGACAACTAATTTCTGCACGCTGCCGAAATCAAGTTCTCTCTCTCACAACAACCACAGAATATTACGAATAAAAGTTCTAAACGCTGCTAGTTTTTACTGCTCGTTATTACCTGATAGCACTAAAAGAAAGCCAGTTTTTAAATTAAATAAAACTTTTTAAACTGTGAACAACCTGTCATTTCAGTCTTTAGCAAAATTTGAAGTTGGAAAAGTACCAAGAAAAAGTCCAGTGAACATCGTAGTTCCAAAAGCAACTAGCACAATAACATGATGGAAAAGAAGTTCCAGAATCCTTAGTGAATGTTCATTGACCAGTAAGTCAACTAAGTCATGAATAAGATATCCAGCCGAAAGCAAAACCTGAAAAACACATCAGAGAAAACCAACAATGTCAAAGGATTTAGTAGAAAAATATTTTGGAAATTTCTGCAAAGAATACTTACTAAGTGGTGAGGGAAAGGAGCCCAATAACAAATTATAGTTTTTTGTTCAACCAGGTTAGGATATGCCAGACAAGCATACAGCGCCCAAATACCAGAAATAACAGAATGGATTAGAGATACCACTTCATTTGAAATTCTCCACTTCTTGTTTGGTGGAATTATCTAAAATAATCTACCATAATTTTTCCCAATTTATACCAATATCCGATAAGACTTATATAGCTCCCAAGACTTACTGGCGTGCTATGGCAGTAAAGTGTCCCTCACTATCAAACATGCTTTATTCACCTTTCGAACACAGAGAAGACCCCACCTGACTCACCTTCTATGGTTTCAGAAATGTCTATGCTCTCTTTACTAATTTTCTAATAATCCGATGGTAAGGCTTCGCCTCAATCCTTTTGGCGTTTCACATCGCCTCCTTCCTGCTGGTACGAATAGCGGATATTTTTTGTAGATGTAAACGTTAAGATTAGCTCTCTTGAAAGCTAGTCCCTGCTATGTTGCAGGTAGTTCTGCTGCTGCAACACTGCTTATAATTCAGCAACCTTCTCAAAGCAGACCTTTTAGCAAAAACAATCGAAAAACCCTTTCATCAAAGACGAAGTATACTTGAAATAGCTTACAAAATTGCCACTCGTTTCACTCCAGTACGCTCAAAAAGGAAAAACACAAAATTAGGCCTTTCTCAACAAGTCTTTTGGCCACCTTACACAGTAGACCAGTAGGTCTTATGCAAAAAACTAAAGCGCCGACTATTCAGTTATTTTCATGTAGACTGGAAAACGGTCAGGATGGAAAACCTACGAGTAAGACAATAGCATGAGTTGGGTTGGGACTTTCTAGATTCTTAGGACTGCAATCAAAAAAAACTCTTACCATGTGTCATACCATGCGCCGCTGACACGCGGGTATTACAAGACGCTATAAAAATCAAAGCAAAATTAAAGCACTGGTCCGCTAGAAGCTTAGTACGAAGTACTCAAACAAGTCTGAAGCTAAAATGAATCACGCGGGATCGAGAACACTATATTCAGAAAATAGAGGTAGGTTGACAATTACAAAAGTATGTTCACAGGGATGGGTGAGTTCAACTGAAGTAGCACTATTACTGGAAACCAGTCTTAAATCTGACGCAGGATAAAAATAGTTTGTAAATCACGGCCAAGGTCTAATCCAACGTAATAGTGTTTTGAGTTTGAGATTCACAAGTTAATATCAAAAGAAGTTTTAATACAGTATTACAAAACTAACCAATAAAGACTGACTACTCCTGATGTCACCACCATCTCCTCTTTCCAAGTTGTTGGCCACTGCAGGGCGCCACCCAAAGTAAGAAAAAGTTCGGAACGTGCACTTGCCAAAAAGATACCATCGTACAGCAAATTGTAGGATCCGGAAACATGTGAATGACAAAGATATCTGAAATAAGGCGATAAAAGTTTCCTAATTCTCAGCAAACTTTTTTTGACTTAGCAGCATAACTTATTTTGTGTAACAAGAAAAATGGAATGAAGAAGTTGGAGATAATGGAATCAAACTATTAAGAAAGAGCCTTCAACTGCAAAAAAAAACAACGGGTAGAAGTCAGAACTACACAACCTTTTATAGCAAATATTATGGGTAACTATTTCAAAGTATGGTTATTTGATGCCATTTAAGACTGTATTAAAGCAAAAACCTGCTCCTTGCAACAAATTTTCTTGTCCAAGCAGGAGTTCCTGATGGCAATCTTACCACATAAAAATCCCAATAAATGAAAAACAAATCATACTAAAAGAGACAGGGGGACTGTAAATAATTAGCAAAGAAAAAAAAAAGAAACATACGTAAGAAAAGCTAATAGCCAAACCTCTCCACTGCAGTGGAGGTGCTGTTGCATTCAAGCATGTATCTGCCATTGTTCCACAAAAAAAGCTTCCTGAAAAACTTCTGGTCCAACAAAAAGCACTTCTTTTTGATCTAAAAAAGATTATGAAGTCAAAAAAAGGTACTAACTCACTGGAGAAATATGCAATGAAGTTTCAAAAATATCTACAGATATTTGATCGGTTCTTGAGAATGCAGGCAAAAAACCTGTTGTCGCAAGCAGACAAAAACAATAAAAATTAAAGGGACCAATGGAAGGGGAATAAGAATCAAGTTCAGAGTTAATATTACAGCTATGCCTCCTTGGGTCTTAAAAATAACTGTCACTACAGAGATGTAGTTTAAATTCATTGACCAAAATTAACTACAATCAAATATCCGATAAAAGAAGTCTTTGAATGCTACAACTAAAAGCACTTATTATGATGATACATCACCAATATCACTGTTCAGCACCATATTTAACTGCTATTTACCATTATTTGCTCTTAGGAGCAGCTTCTAAAGAACAGTCTTTGATAAGACTTCAAAAAACTTCTATTTCCTCATTTTCTAAAAACACGCAGCTTCCAAAACAAGTGTAGTAAATATTTTTAAGAAGTTTAACGAAAAGAACTTAAGATCTAACCTACCGTCAATAAAGGAATTATGCACTTTCACTTTCTTTAAAATCACTGTTGAAGAATCTACCAGCCACTCTCGTTCTCGTTAAAAGACAACGTAAGTATGAAAAGTTACTAGTAAACACTCTTCTGAGAGCTGGCCAACAACCGAATAAACTGAAGAACTGATAATGAGATAGATAATTTACAAATGCCGTAAAAGAGTTCTTGCAGAACAGTATTCCCTTATCAGCTCGAAGAAAATGCTGAAAAAACGGCAGCAACGCTGTCTAGTGCTTGTAACGAAGGTTGCAGTTTGCTTATAAAAGAAACAAACTGAAGAAGGCAGCTACGTCAACCCAAGTACTTGATGAAATTCTTTCTCCGAAGTTTATTTGGTTTTCTGAAAATCCACGAAACAGGAAAGAACGGAGAATCTGACATCGACCCTTCCTGTCCAATGTAGTGAGCGCCCACGAAATGACCTCTACGCAGCAACTGCGCATCTGCCCATTTTAGACTATATTTCAATTCATTCTACAACTAGGAACCTCATCGGAACCGGACCCGGACCCCCGAATGAAGGTCGTCAAAGCCCACTGGGTATGTAATGCAATGGTGACCTTTTTTTGGATGTTTTTTGCTTTTTTGAATTGTTTATTTTATTTTATTTTGAAGGTACATGGGTCACTTCTGCAGTTTCGCTTATGCTAGTAACAATGTAATATTCAGCGGTGGACTGCAGAAAGTCTTTAACTGGGTTGTTTCAATAATTGCTTTGACAGAAATTTCTGCCTGCAGTTGCTTTGTTTTATACAAAAATCAAAACGCTTATTCATGAATTAAAAATGTATAGTATACAGAAAAATTTATCAAAACCCTGGCTCAAAAATTCCTTAACAAAAAGAGTGCTTCATTGTGGATATTTTTTAATAATGAAATTGCCTATTTTTCAAAAAACTAGCTTCCTAAAAAACAAATAAAACAGAAGTTTTGCAGTTTGATGTAACGGCTAATTTCAAAGAGTTCAACAAGGTATTATGAGTTTCTTCCTACCATACCCAGAAACATTTTAGAACTGCTAAAGTTAGGTTCTACAGAGTGCAGACAATTGAGAATAAAAATTACACTTATGTAGTGCGGTTTTCTTACTCAATAACTGTTCCTGAAGGGTAATAATCATTTACAATCTAAAAATGAGTGAAGAAAAAAGCTAAAAAAATTTCCAGAAATGACTTTACAAGAACCATTCAACCCAAATAAAAAGAGATACAGAGTGGGCGTTACCTAATTTCTGTAAGACAAGCTGCCCATTGAAACAAAGACTTGTCGAGTCCCAAATACCAAAACGCTGCTGGAGAAGCGATGCTTTATAAGTCTAATTGCTGCTGTAAAAATTTTTTTTCAAATCAGTGTAAAGAAGCAACTTTAAAGGCTACAGACACGACCACTTTATAACAAAAATATCTGTAGGTTTTAAAAGACAGCCCAAACTACTCTGAATCCTACGCAGTTTTAGAAGACAGTTTCGAGTATGTTGTCAGAAATGATCAGATAATTGAACACACTCCAGAGCAGAATTTAGACCAGGATAAATACTTTCTAGATTGGATGCCAGGCAAAAATAATAACGAAGGGAAAGTGTAACAGGCAGGTCTGCCAAAAGTAAGTGATCAATACCATCCATTTAAGACAGGAACAACACATGGAAAAAGCTGTTCAAAGTCTATGTTCGAAAATGAACTTATCTGAAAAAAATAAAAGTCAGGAGAGGCAGACACGTAAAAAGTTCGCAGAAACATTCCAAGTATACAGTGGGGACGAAAGAAGAGTTTGGAACGACTCGAGGATAACAAATGAATTAAACTGAGCACTCATCTTTGATTTTTTTTCAGTCAGGATTGCTTACATCAATCTGAAATAACCTTCACAAATATTGTTTGATGGCAACTTAATTAGCTCAGCCTACACGATTAAATACAAATCCAAAAATTAACCAAACCTTAACTACAATATTTCTACTTTCCTTATCTAAAGAAATTTTACTGCTTTTCTAGTTATGGCCCCATAAAAATAGAGCTAGTCATAGAGAACTTCCTCTCCAAACCGAACTTGAACCTGAATGTTCTCCCTTTTTCTTGGAAAAATATAGCCCGCTAGTTCAACATTCACTGCAAACCTTAAAAAAAGACTCACTTGGTATTTCCTGGGAAAAAAAAAACAAATTGATGAAAAATGAAAGTAAAGTGAATATTTGCTAAGACGGCGTCACGAAGGTCAATGAGGAAAAGTCAATTTTAAAAACTGCTGTAAAAGATTTCTCTTGACGAAAATAAACACCCTTAACAGCTACCAATGCATGTGAACACCTTAGAAGTATAAGTTATATTTCTGTCAGTTTTAGTGGTTCATGGTTCTAAGCCGCATAAATCATTAAAGCACAATTAAACGCATTACACAGCAAAAAAAATTATTTTCAACAATCTTTATGGGCAGAAGACGACTAATATCTGGCGTAACTTGCAGAAAGCATTAGCGTCACTAAGCATTCAAAAAACCCATATGCAGTAGGTAATCAAATAAAACGCCTAAAAATTAAATACGCACATGAGGAGCCAACTTAATCCAGAGCGGCAAAACAAACCATATGGAAGAGGAGCTGATCAACCCTCTTAGGATAAAGCAGCATGATGCACAGCCGACACCGGTAAAAACCTCCGAAAGTTTAAACCAGAAGACCGCAAAGTGAAGTACAATGCCCAAATAATCCAATAAACATAAGCATGTCTGTTATAACAGATTCTCGTCTTTCCCTATACTGTGCTAGGCGTTTCTGCACCACCCAGTAGAGGAAGCGCTTCTAAGTCTCCCTTCCTTACTTTCGTCCGCCCGTTGCATCTACCGGTCGATTGAGTTGACTCATTTCTTACCTCTGCTTATCAGTAAGCAGTTACAGGCTAATGTTACTTGATATCAAATGCCTTCTCAACTTTCTGGCACTGATTTTACTTTCATCTATATTGTTTCTCCGGACAGATTTTTCCTGTCTCTAGAAGAATTTAGAAAAATTCAGGAGAACTAGAAGAATTTCCATGTAATTTTAGAACGTAATTCTGTAATGTTACGTTCTTGCTGCGGTACGCTGTTCATGTTGCCACTTTTGTCGATGGTTAATTTACGGGGAAGTTACGAGGGACGATTTCCATTAAAAGTCTCTGCGACGTTCAACGCGTGTCACTTAAACTATCTGTATAACGCCCTTGCGTCAAAGTTTTACTAAACAGAGGTCTCCCTTCCCCGAAGCAACGCAGATGCCACTTTTTTCCCTCGTTGCTTGCTGAAATGGAAGAGAAAGGAAGAAGCAAGTGATTCAGGAAAGTCCAAATTTTCCCAAGTGCTTTGCCGCAGGAAAGAGAGTTTGGACATGAACCAGAGAGCAACGGAACTCCATGTAGAAATTTTCCTCATCCCTAGTTTTCTCTGTTAGGGAAAATCTATAACTGTTTTCATCGGTAGCCTTCAAGAGTACCTTGCGCAACTATTCTAGACCGAACTCCAAGAATTTATCACTCTCTGAGAGACTTTTATGCAGTAAAAATCTTGAATTACTTC